TTGCTTTCTAATCACAGGATACCCAAAATAAAAATGAGTAAAATACAATTTACTTTCTCATTTTAAAATATATTTTATTGATATTTTACAGAGAGGAAGAGAGAGGGATAGAGAGTTAGAAACATCAATGCGAGAGAAACATCCATCAGCTGTCTCTTGCACACCCCCTACTGGGGATGTGCCCGCAACCAAGGTACATGCCCTTGACCGGAATCGAACCTGGGACCTTTCATTCCGCAGGCCGATGCTCTATCCACTGAGTCAAACCAGTTTCGGCTACTTCCTCATTTTAAAAGAAAGTTTGGTATTGGCAGTATCCCATGCCAGTATGCAAATTCCATGAAGTCATTAGGGAATCACATTCAATTTCAAATCTAAAACCAGCACGTGGTTACCATTTCCAAGATTGCTTGTGTCCAAGATGTGCCTAGAGTTTCAGTCATCCCATTTTTATTCCAGGCAGTAGAGAAGAGAAAAGGAGAGGGTCAGTCAGATCTTTCTCCTGATATCACTTTTTATTTTAAGGTGACTTTACAGAAGTCTCTCCCAACAATTTCTGGTTGAATGATATTAGTCTTAGTTACATGGCCATAGTTTGCTTTGAGGAACCCTGGGAAATGTAAAATAATATTTTGGCTGGATACATTACAACTCCCTAATAATGTAGGGGTCTTGTTAGTAAGGAAGATGAGGAGAATGGATGTGAAAAGGTAGTTAGCAGGCTCTACCACAAGTATCTGTGTGAATAGTGGTTACAATGGAAGAACAAGGAGGTCCATAGATGATTATAAGCATAACAAGATCAAGTGGAAGAGGGTAGCATGAACCCCAGACCAGCTTGTTTAGAAGAAATTGACAAAATACTGGAACGTAAGTAGCAGTGGGGTACAAGGAGAAAACTGGTCATACCTGCCAATCCTGACATAGGAGGAATGTAAGAGAATTAAAAATTCTGGAGAGGACTGCAGATGATTTCCTTAAGTGACATTTGGTTTTAGTTAAAAAGAGAGAGAAGGAATTTGAGGAAATGATTATGAAGCAGTTTCAAGGGATACAGTAGAAGAAATGGGGTCTTGGGAAAGAGGCCTGCGTTAGGTTGGGGCAAGAAAATACCATTTATACTTGAGAGAAGTGAGAATGTAGTGGAACGTATTTCTTAATGTGTTTTGATCATCTATCCAAATGAGTTAAATTTTTTTAATATGCCTCAACTTATATTTTAACAATTTCTACTCTTAATTTTTAAAAAAAGCCTTCCACTTAAAAATAAGAGTAATAACACTTAAAATTTCTTAGAAAATTTTGGTAATGCAATAAGGCATAGTAAGATTAAATTAGGAGAAAAAAAATTATATCAATTATAGATATTATCATATAAGGAGATGACATTTGATTTGAGATCCCAGCAAAATAAAATAGGAAACATAATAAGTTTAATTACCTATATTAAAGAAGGAACACACATCATTAGGAAAGGAAGAGTTATTAAGTGAGTTTTGAGACAAATGACAATAACTGGGGGAGAGGGGATGCAAATTAAAAAGTTATATTTGAAATATTAAACCATAAGAACAACTAGAAATATTGTACAACTGAATATCAAGTCCTTGCAAATAAAAGAACTTTCCAAGCTTCTAACTGATAGGGGAAAACAATAATAGCTTTGAATATATAAGTATTTGAAGCCTCTGTTTTAAAACAACATGTAAAAATTGAAAGACCACATAGTATTTGCAGCCTGTTTGTTTATCTAAAGAGGTCATGATGCATTTAAAAAAATAATAATAATAAATGCAACAAAAATGCTCCAAGAAAATACTTAACAGCTCAAAAAGAAATCTTAGGAGTTTACTCAGTTATAAGAAAAAAAAGCTGACTAAAACAGGCACAGAACTTAAAAGATATATGACTGGTTTAAAAAGGGGAGGGCATCGAAACATGCTTTAAAAGGCCTGGAGGAATGGGGGAATTGCTGTTTAAAACCTTATAGGTATAAGGGGAAAAGGACCAAGACAACTTGCTAAAGAAACATGACTAGTTAAAAGAAGGAGAAAGGGAAGAAAACTTGGTCACTTTTGTGATTAAAGCAATGGATACCTATTATAAACTAAGACAAATGCTTTTCCACTTTTGGATCCTGTGCACTGAAAATGAAACACCATGTTTTTTTCACTGTGTGGCAGTGTATATCTATACAGTACTTATGGAACTCAATTTTTTTCTCTCTTGTTAATCCCTAGATGGTTAAAACACATTTGTTTTGTGGAAATAAATATAATAATAAATTAAACCTTAAACTCTAAACCTAAGCTTGAAATTGTAGTTCCTTCTGATAAAGTTTTTAAATTAAAAACACAAAGAATATATACAGTAGTGTGTGTATATTAATACTTATTTTAAAGAAGATATGCTCAGGTAGACATAATTGAACTGAAAATCCTGAGTATCAAGTGATATTATAAACTAGTAAATAAAGCAGTGATAGACCCAGTAGGCTAGAGAAGCAAGATGGACAGTATACAGAATTAGAAACTTAATATATGATAATGAATGATAAAAAATGGCATTTAAATCAGTAGGGCAGAATGAGCTATTCTCTTATCTATTCAGAAAATGTTTATTGAAGGCCAAGTACTAGCGTGGATGCCAGGGACACACCAGCAAACCAAATAAAATTGTGTTCATCATGAAGTTTAAATTCTAGTTGGAATAGAGACAGGATAAATAAATAGAAGATGATTACATGCTGAGGAGTAAAGTAAAACAGGGAATGAGGATAGTGTTCACAAGATTCCATTTGGGGGGGAAAGATACTATGTTCCTATTTCATACTTTATTAAAAAAAAAAAAAAAAACAGCCAGAAAACAACTTTTTTAAAAAAATATATTTTATTGATTTCATACAGAGAGGAAGGGAGATAGAGAGTTAGAAATATCGATGAGAGAGAGTCATTGATCAGCTGCCTCTTGCACACCCCCTATTGGGGATATGCCCAAAACCAAGGTACATGCCCTTGACCAGAATCGAACCCGGGACCCTTCGGTCCCCAAGGCGACATTCTATCCATTGAGCCAAACCAGTCCCGGCTAAAAACCAACTTTTTAAAAAGCAAATAATCCAATAGAAAATTTAGTAAAAGTTTTTTCTTTTATTTTGATAAACTAGAGGCCCGGTGCAAAAAATTCATGCATGGGTAGGGTCCCTAGGCTGGCTGGCTATCAGGGCCATTCAGAGCCTTCCGGCTGCCAACTGGGACTTTCCTTCGTTTTGCACCGCCCATTGGTGATCAGTGCATGCCATAGTGAGCGATTGAACTCTCGGTTGAACTTCCAAGGGAACACTTTGCACATTAGCCTATTATATAGATAGTCCTACTTCATAAAGGAGGATATAGGGCTATCCAGTAAATATCTACATCTATTTAGTAGTTAGGAAAATGCAAAACCAAACAGATACCAGTTTCAATTCATATTAACAGGAAGTTTAGTAATAACAGTTCTTTATGGATTTGAGGGAAATGAGTGCTTTTATATGTTGCAGGTATAACTGCATGTTAGTGTAGTAACCTGTTTTGGAGGACAGTTCAAGAGTAGCTTTCCAAGTGAAAAAAGGTACACATCGCTGTGACCCAGGAATCTCACTTCTTGATATTTACCTCAGGGAACTTGAATGTAAGCACAAGAAGGTATGATAGGGCAACATGATTTGTAATAATTAAAATCTGAGAACAACCTAAATGTGCTTTAGTTTAAATGATGTGTCCATACTGTGAAGCACTATAGCATGGACAGTGACCTCTAAAACATACAGTTGAATGCAAGAGTAAATTACAGATGATAATGTACATACCAGTGATAACAGTTGCCACTAAACTATTCACACCTCTTACCATTGGAAATGCTATTAGTCATAGAGGTTGTTAGCTTTATCTTTATCTCTAATGTTTTTCATTCTTTTAGATGGAATATTTTCTACGTGTACATAAAAATACTGAAAATAGTTCTTTTTATTAGCTTCAAGCTTAAATCACATTTCCCATCATTCCAGCCCATCTATACTAATAAAAGGGTAATATGCTAATTATACTGGATCATTCGGACATCCAACTTCCTTCTGGACAAAGCCACAGTGGTAGGAGCCAAGGCAGAGGCAGTTAGGGGCAATCAGGCTGGTAGGGGAGCAAGCAGTTAGGGGGCGATCAGGCCAGCAGGGGAGCAGTTAGGCTGAGATCAGGCCAGCAGGCAGAGGCGGTTAGGGGTGATCAGGCAGGCAGGTGATTGGTAGGAGCCAGCAGTCCTGGATTGTGAAAGGGGTGTCCCGGATTGGAGAGCGTGCAGACTGGGCTGAGTGACACCCCTCCTCCTCCACCCCTGTGCATGATTTCTTTCACTGAGCCTCTAATATTGTATATATATATTTTAAAATATATATTTTTTATTTTTTTTATAGAGAGGAAGGGAGAGGAATAGAGAGTAGAAACATCGATGAGAGAGAAACAGCTGCCTCCTGCACACCCCCTACCGGGGGTGTGCCCGCAACCACGGTACATGCCCTTGACCGGAATCAAACCCTGGACTCTTCAGTCTGCAGACCAATGCTCTATCCACTGAGTCAAACTGGTTTCAGCTAGTATTGTATATTTTATCAACATTACTTATCTGACAATTGGCACGTGGTTTTCTATATATGGGTTATTTTTCTGAGTATCCCAACTAACCAATTAAATTACAGGTCCCTTTGACAACTAGTCCTTTTTTTTTTTTTTTTTTTTTTTTTTTTTTTTTTTTTTTTTTACATGACAAAAGAATCCTTTACTTGCTAACAATTTGTTAGAATAATATTTTGTGTTCTTTATATTTGTAATTAAGATTCCTAGTAAATCGGAGTTTTATTTCTAAGTTTACTTAAATGTTAAATGATTTATTAGATAAAACATTTTAAAAATCCAGTCAACAAAAATGTTAAAAGTTAAATTATTTAAATTATTTTCCTTTTTTAGGTCGTTTATATGCAATGCAAACTGGAATGAAGATTGATAGTAAAACTCCTGAATGTCGTAAATTTTTATCAAAACTAATGGATCAGTTAGAAACTGTGAGTTAAACAGAGAGAATCTCTTTTCTGATTAATGTTTAAAATGCTATTTTATTTGTGTAGTTTTTTTTTTTTTTTTTTTTTTTTTTTTTTTTCTGGGCAGCATCAGCAGTGTCATTATAGCTGATGAAAAAATAGGCAACAGGGGCATTCAACTGCCCCTGTTGGCCTTAACACTTCTAACACTGCTTCTATGAGTGCAAAAAATTTGGAGTATTCTTTCTTGGAGAATGAGATTAGGTGGCAGGAAGGAGAATGTCTTACACATAGTGACATATTTGTGAAATTCATCTCTAACAGACATTTTATGTAGAATATATCCCTATTAATTTTTCAGTATAACAATAATCCTGTGTAATAAAATCCCAGAGATCATAACAGCAGATCAGTACTGTGAAGTGCATTGACCACCTCTTGGTCCCTCCCCCCGGCCATCAGGCTCCCATCACCCGATGGCAAACTGGGAACCCGGGTGGGTGGTGGCAGGGGGCAAGGCCGGCTGCAGGCAGCCAGGGAAGATGGCCCTGATTGCAGGCCAGGCCTGCTAGTAGGTTAAATAATAGCTTTTGGGTAACACAAAACTCAGTTGTTTATAATAAGCAAAGTGTAAAGTCACATTTATAAAGTGACTCATCAGGATTTATTAGTATCTAAATTAAATAACAAGTAGAGTGAGTTTATTCCATAGTGAGAGCACATCTATCTAATATAAAGTTTATAACACATTTGGAAAACTTTTAGTATGTTTTTGCTACCAGATATTTTAAACATTTTTCTAGAATTAACTCTGCCTCTAGAATTAATATAGAATTAAATGATTTCACAGTTTGGAGATAGTAATTAGTATTACATGCAGACTTTTTCTATTTTTGTTTAGGATAATCGTAGCTAAAAATGTCCTTAATTTCCAACATTAAATCCCTCTGGACATTAAAGTATTTTGTTGTAATTATAAGAATATTTGTTGATTTTATGAAAAATCCTAAAGCCTTTTTTAAATATAATTTTTATTTTATAATGTCTTTGAGAAAAGCAGTTTTAAAACAGTAGTATGGTCCTAAGATATAATATTCCAGAAGGTCATTTATTTCAGTGTAATAGTCGGAGTATAATGTAGGAATTTAGTTTGTTTTTAAAATACTTTAAATTATTATATACTTAGGAAAGTGATATATTGACTGGAAATTAACACCGTTTTAAATTGTGTTGATTTCAGGTTTGTACTTTTCTAAATTTAAAAAATTTTTATAATCCAATTCCAAGTTTGTAATCTATACCTTGCTTAGAATAAGATCTCCCTTTTTACACATGTGCTCTGAAAAACACTATTTTAGGATATAGTGATCCTTCTAGTATAGTTTTTTTATTAGAAATAGAAATTGGAATAAATTAAAATTTTAAATTACATATGATTAGGAAGTAATTTTTAATTTCATTTTAGGATACCTGTTTGTACATTGAATAATTTTTTATTTTGAAATATTTTATGCTTTAAAGTAGCTACTTGGATGTGTTATCTTTCTATTCTTGGTTATTTTGATTTTTAGAGATAAATTATACTTTGCAGGGTTCCATTGATACATCTTTTACTGAAATACATATAAATCATTCATTTAAAATGATTGTTAGAGTAATTTATACTTAAGTATACATTTCTGTAAGTCCACAATCATAAGCTTTGCATTTGCTTTTCTTTTAGCTTAAGAAACAGTTGGGTGATAATGAAGCTGTTACTCAAGAAATAGTTGGTTGTGCCCATTTGGAGAATTATGCTTTGAAAATGTTTTTGTATGCAGATAATGAAGATCGGGCTGCACGATTTCACAAGTAAGTAAAGAAAGAGGAAAATAAAAATGGTAAGTTTAGTTACTCTAAACCAGAATTATTCAATTTTGCATTGAACACTTTCTGACTTCCTGATTAATGATTTAAATATTTAAAAATTACTTGTAGAATCTAGAATGATTTTGAGTATCAGATGCAAGCCTGTTTTATCAGAGAAAATTACTAAAAGAACATCCAGGACAGATTTATTTTCTCAGAAAATATACTCTAACTAGTTCTTTAACATTGCTGAAAATGTAAGAGTTGATTTTCGACAAAAAACAGTCTGGTTCAATGATGCTGATTTTAAAAATTCCCACTCCACTTATTCAAATGGTTTGTAATTATTATAATAATATTTAAATGCAAAAAAAAGTACATGACTTGATATGGTTTTAGATAGTACTCTAATTACATTATTCAAGATCAAATGTATACTATAAAACCTTACTGTTCCATATTTACATGTAGTATTAGTGTTGTTACTTTCTCCTGATAACTTTGTAAGAGGAGTTCCATTGTTTGCCTAAAATACGATTGTATTTAAAATCATTTCAGAATGCTTTTATAAAAATTGGGATTTTTTTTATAGCTAATTTTGCATCATTATCTTTTTCCTTTAAACTAGACCAGCTCTCTTTTCTCTTCCAGAAACATGATCAAGTCCTTCTATACGGCAAGTCTTTTAATAGATGTCATAACTGTGTTTGGAGAACTTACTGATGAAGTGAGTATATAGTTTTTATTCTCTTAATCACTGAAGATCAATATTGTTGCTGTTTACCAGATTTATTATGACAATGTTTACTTAGAGCAGCATATAATGTAAGCAAATTTTTAATTTTAACTTCCTGTACATTTTTTTAAAGTATGAACAAAAGATAAAATTATTTTTAATATATATTTGTAGGAAGTTCTTTAATTTTATATTGGGCAGCACAGGTTTTGAGTTTTATTTTATTAAGGGTTTAAATACTACTAATCCTGTATGCTGTTAAGTTTCTTCACTGTTATTTGGTAAACATAGAGGCAGAAACTTTTTAAGGATTTTTCCTATTTCATTTCTACTTAGAAATATTGTTTATGATTTGTCTCTGTTGTAAAATACATATAGAAGATAATATTTTACAAGGTACTTCATATTTATTAATTTGTTTCTCATAATCACTCTAAGATAGAGTGCATATTCATTTTATACATGAGTAAATTGAGGCTAAGTGACAATCATTGCTATGAATTCATTGTTGTTTTACTGTCACAAGAAAATTTATTTTCTGTAAGGGGAGATACTAATTTAGAAAGAGAGGGTGAAAAAAAAGGAAAGCTATAATGAGACTGATAAAGGCTTCTTATTCTGTGATTTGAAATCTATGAAGAACATTGCTTTCTGTGATAGGATTTTTCAAAGTGATGAGCAGATATTCAAGTTCCAAACAAAATAAAGTATAATCTATGAGATATTTGCATTTTATAAAACAATATATCCAAACTGTGCAAAAATTATTTATGTTTGTATGAAAATAAAATCAGGTTTTAGACTTGATGATTATAAGCTGGGTTTTTGCATTGGCAGAGTTGTGCAGGACATTTCAAAGTTGTGCTGAAAAAAAGACAGTTTATTATGTGATTGCTCTTTTTATTTCAAAACACCAAGCATTCCTGGCCCTTGCCTACACAGCAATCCCCAGTCATTCAAATAACCAGAAACCATCCCATATATTCCTAAAATACCTTCTAATGTATGGGACAGTGCCCATTGAGAGCCATTGCTGTCCAGTTTTTTTGAGACAGAGTAGTATAAGAAGAAACTGAAACCTGGAGTGTAGAAACCTGAAATACTTCTCAATCGTGGCACATTTTATACTCTGAAGACCTGGTGGGTCCACTCTGTTTAGCTCCCTTTCTACTCCTGTTTCTGATTCCTGATCTGGATTTCTTTCCCCCTCTGTTGTACTAGTATATGGCACAATATTAGAAATTAAGGAAGCTCGGCTGATTTATCCATGAAATTATGGAAAACTAGATAATTCAGTATGGTTATGGAGAGTACCAGGCAGGCAAAGGAGAATAATGGGCCTCAGATTAGAAAAGTAAGTCATAAACGAGGTAAGAACAGATTCTAGTAGGAAGAAGGGAGAAGAAAGGTAGCATAGCAATAGTGTTGGAGTGAGCAAGCTAAACACCTGAGATCTTCCATATGACATTTGTACATAAAGATTTTTAGTCTTCTAAATAAATTATTTTTACTTTTCTTCAAAAAAATATATATATAAAGTTTGTACTGTTTTTCATTCTTTTTCCATGCAATCTAGTCTTCACTGTCATTGTTTTACTGAAGAACCCATAGGGACTTCTCATTTTCAGCCATTGTGCAGGTTTATCTTACTTGTGGTACTTTCTTACCAATCCCACTTCTTGTTTGTCAGGCCAGCCTGCTAACCACCCTCCCAGCTTTCACCTCTGGGGACTTTGTGTTTTTAGCCTGCTTCCATTGCATTCCCTTTAAGTCTTAGCTACATTGTTCTAGACCTTATATAAATTTCTCCACTCTCTCAACTCTTCCACCTTTAGAGTCTCAACTATATGGGTATTATACTATAAATGTATTGACTTAGGTTTTATGTAGTATATTTTAGAGGAAGTTATACTGCAAGTCCTTGAAAGAACTTTGTCTTACTCTAGTCTACTCTTCCTTCTTTTGCATTAAGTGCCATTCACACACAGTAAATACAGTGGCTAATGAATTAATATTTCAAAAGTTCTTATAGTTAGCTTTTTATATTTTTACCTGTAGTTGGAAATAATGTTCAGACTTGTTTACATAGAACTTCTTTCATAACTCTTCTGAAATGTAATATGTCTCATTACTCATAGCATTTTGGTCTACTTCCTGATTTTTCCCCCTTTTAATTTCATGTCATTACTCATGGTTACACAAAACTAAATAAAGTCAGTATTTTCTTTAGTCTTTAGCTGTTTATGTATGTGTATTTTGTCTGCTACTGCTCTGATTCTCAACTCTCTACCTCTGTTTTAGGTCTATGTATTGAACTCTTTTAACTGTGCCCAACATAATTCCATCTTACTATTTAGTTAAAATTTTATAATGCAAACTTCTCACATTCCTGTAGCTTTCTTGGATTCAGTGACCCAGTTTTAAGTATAGAGTCACAAGAATATACTTTAATTTTTATATTTTAAAGCAAGAAATGTTATTTCCTTACTATATCCTCTTGATTACTCTATTTATGGTCAACATTATTGAGAGTCTTTCTTTTGTATTATATATTTACTAGAGGCCCGGTACATGAAATTTGTGCATGGGGGTGATGTCCCTCAGCCTGGCCTGCCCCCTCTCACAATCTGGGCCCCTTCAGGTAGAGTCCTTAGGCCTAGCTGATGATCAGGGCCTATCAGGGTTTTATTCCCCCAGCTGACCCAGCCCCCACTGCTGCCACTGCTTGCCATCTGTGCGGCGCTATCACCCCTTTCCCAATACTAGTTTCCTCCCTCTGCGGGTGACAGGTGTGGGGTGCAATTCTTTGACTGGCCTGGACCTCCCTCTGCAGGGCGGTTGCTGGCTGGCCCCACATTCCCACCACAGTGTCGCTGGCCGGTGGCCCGGACCTCCCTCTTTGGGGCGGGGGGGGGGGGGGGGGGGGCAACCAATCACATCACACCCACCTTGGCTGGCCTAGCACCATTGTTTATCATAGCATGGTCCTCTGGAAGGTTGTCTGGGCAGATGTCCAGATTGTCGTTCTGTTGTTTGGTCAATTTTCTTTTCTTTTTTTTTTTTAAATATATTTTATTGATTTTTCACAGAGAGGAAGAGAGAGGGATAGAGAGTTAGAAACGTCGATGAGAGAGAATCATCCACCAGCTGCCTCTTGCACACCCCCTACTGGGTATGTGCCCCTACTGGGGATGTGCCCGCAACCAAGGTACATGTCCTTGACCATAATCAAACCCGGGACCTTTCAGTCCACAGGCCGACGCTCTATCCACTGGTCCAAACCAGTGCCGGCTGTTTGGTCAATTTTCATATTATGCTTTTATTATTATAGATTATTATAGATTTTACTTCTAGCAATGTCTAAGGAACAGATATCATTTTACCTTTTTTTCTTTATAGTCTTTGATTTAAGTTTTCTACTGCTAATTAAGAAAGAATATGAAAATCACTTATAAAAGTTAATTACACTGCTCTTATCTGTTGAGTTTCTGATAATTTTAAGGAATCAAGTGAATATGGTGTGTTTTCCTGCCCTCACAGACCTTGTGTTCTAACTTGTAAAGAGAAACAAGCTAACTATAATAACATGTGGTCTAGTAATGAGAATATAGAGGTCGTGATCCATTTCTATCACTTTCCAGGCACTGTATTTAGATGCCTCAAGATATATTTTGTTCTTTTGTAACTCTGAATTATAGTAAGAGAAATAAGGGTCAGAAAAATGTGAGTACCTTGTCTTCAGATGCTATAGCCCAGAATAGTGATCTCAGACTTGGTGATAAAAGTCCAGCCTTTTTTTTTTTCTTCAATCTGATGCAGACTGATGGTTATATAAAATACAGGTAATAATTGAAACACTAGAAAAATGAAACTTAAAAAAGACATGCAAAATACAAGCCTAATTTGCTTTAAGTTTCTAAATACTCTCAATTTATATAGTATTTTGTCCAAACTGGTAATCAGTTTACAGACCAGCACTGGTTCTGGGACTACATCTTGTTTAGCACTGATCTAGATCCTTCTATGGAAGACTCCCAGAGAATCCCAATTTATCCCAATCGGGGATTCTTGCTTCTGGAAAACCAGGGGTCTGGCACAACTGGAGCAATTATATACTTGTGTGGCCATCTGGAGGAAGTCTGTTTCAGGTATCCATTTGCATTGGAAATTTCTGAATTAAGCAACATCTCACTGCTAACCTAGAAAACCTTGGTTGAGTGGGAGAGCTTTATCTAATTACGAAAGTGTGTGTACTGTACATATACCTGCACTTAATATTCAAAATATTATATAATATTATAATAAAATCCCAAGTGGCTATATTAGTATTAGAATAAAGAAACTTTAAGATGTGTTACTAGAGGTAAAATGGATATTTTGTAATAAAGGGTTCAGTTCATCAAGAAGATATTACAGTTAAAAGTGTTTCTGTACCAAAATAATAGTTTTAAACTATATGACACAAAAATTGATAGAAATAAAAATATACATAAATTCACAGTCATACTTAGAGATTTAATACTCCTCCCTTAGTCATCAGTAGAATAGTTTAAAAACAGTAAGATTAAAATGAATAGTCTAGCCACATCACATATTAGCTAGAATGTGGAAAAACAAGAGCTTTCATACATTGCTTGGTGAAAATGTTAGACATTATAACCACTTTGGGAAAAGATTTGGCAGATTTTTATTAAGTTAAACACATCTACTTTTTACCCAGTAATTCCTCCTTGGTGTTTATTTAAGAGAAATGGAAACATGTGTCTAGAAAAAAAGACTTGTTCAAGAGTGCTCATAGGAACTTTATTCATAATAGCCCAAAGCTAGAAACCCAGTTGTCCACCAACAAAGGAATTGATAAGTTGTACTATTATTAAAATATCAAAAGGGACTAGTGACCTACCCTTCAACATGAATGAATTTTGTGGATTTTATGCTGAGCAAAAGAAAACTCAGTGCAAATTGGATGATTCCCTTCATATAATGACAAATTCATTATAGTGAAAAAATTGGGATGTTTGTTGGAGGGGGCGGGGCAAGGGATATTTATTCTAGAAAGGGATATGAAGGCACATTCTGGGAACTAGAAATGCTATAATTTGATAGGAATATGTTTTACACAGTCATACCTATCTTTCAAAGCCCATCGAATTATATAAATTTAAGATTTATTTATCACAAGGTATGACAGTTTTACCACACACAAAAAAAAATTTATTGATTTTTCTTGATGGTATTGGGTTGTCAATTCTAAAACTGCTTACTCTGTATAGGATTAAGCAAATGAGTAAGTATATTAAGGGAGCCAGGTTTCTCACTTATGGAGGAAGAACTTAAATATGAGATGTCAGAATACTACATTGTATTGTGTTGGATTGGAACTGCAAATGTCCATATTATGCTTTTAGATGTATTAGATAAGTAGAGAAGTGGACAGGAATCAAGCCTGGGGCCTCTTGATTCCTGAGTCAATGCTCAACAGCTGAATCACATAGGCTGGGCTATAGAACCTTTTTTATAATGGAATATATAAGAGTATATTTTGATGAGGAAAGATGAAATTAAATATTACACAAATTCAGTAATTTGGTGGGTTACTCTTTAGGTTTCTATATACTAATCTGTAGCATCTAGATAATATCATATAAACTACTCAACTAAATATCTAGACTGTATGCTATATTTGTACTCATTGGTGACTTAGTGGATCTTTACAAAAGGCAAAGTACAGCTATTTTCAACATAATGAAACTGTTTTTTCAAACAAATGTACATACAGATCCTCTAGGGATCTTGTTATAATATAGATTGTGATGCAAGCTTGAATATTCTTAATTTCTAACAAACTCCCAATTGATACTAGTACCACTGGTCCAGGAGTATCCTAAAGGTCCATTTACTATACGAACTGAAAAATCACTAGTCCATTCAAAATTCTGACTGATTTTATTCTCATATTCTTTAATATATATATTTTTTTAAAGAATATGGTGTATATGATATATATGTGTATATTACATATACATATATATCATATATACCGTATTCTTTTATGGTATATAGCATAAACTTTAAAGTCAGGAAATAAGAAGAGGCAACTAGCAGGTTATTCACTAATATTTTCAATTCTCACAGCAATCCCATGATCTATTATTTTCTCCTTTTGGGAATTGAAATAAATGAGACTCAGAGCTGGTAAATAGTACACTACAGGTTAAAAGTGAAGTTTGCCTAGCTATCTGTCTTAGTGTTTGCTTGCTTTAACCAGTACTTCGTGTTAGTTTTCTTAGATTTGTACTGATTTATTTTTTCCTCTAGTGAAAATAATTCAACTTATTATCTTTTATATTTAACTAGAGGCCCGGTGCATGAAGTGCGTGCACTCAGGGGTGGAGTCCCTCAGCCTGATCTGCGCCCTCTTGCAGTTTGGGAGCCCAAGGGGAATGTCCAACTGATGGCTGGCAGTCAGACAACCTTAGTGCTGCAGTCAGATAGCCTTAGCACTGCCATTGTGATGGGAAAGGCCCACCATCGCTCTTAAACTTGCCAGCTTACAGCTGAGCAGCACTTCCCCTGTGGGATTGGGCTGAAACTAGCTCTCTAGCGTTCCCTGAGGTGTCCCAGGTTGCAAGAGGGCCTAGGCCAGGCCAAGGGACCTAATGATGAATAATTGGGGCCGGGGAGAGATGTAGAAGGTTGGCCAACCAGAGAGGGATAGTGAGAGGGCTCCAGTGCGTGGCCGACCCACCTATCTCAGTCTTCATCGGCTGGACTCCAGTAGCAAACTAACTTACCAGTCTGAGCATCTGCCCCCTGGTGGTTAGTGCATGTCATAGCGAGTGGTTGAGCAGCCTTAGCATATTATTAGAATATTATGCTTTGATTGATTGAACAGATGACTGGATAGTTAGCATATTAGGCTTTTATTTTATAGGATTTTATCATTCTATTTAGCCTATTTCTTCCCTGTGTATATAAGTTGCAAGTTTTGCTTGAAGGATATTCCCATATTTCCATTACAGACCTTTTCTGAAATTCAGAACCATTAGACATGAGGTAGATAGCTTTTTATTAAGCTTTAGACAGTTGGTAGAACCTAGTGGTAGGATTGAGAGGGTGCTGGAGTCTTTCAGAGCTGTACCATGTAAAAATGGGTTTTTCCTCAAGAATATGTTATAAGTTATCATAAATATGTATTTTTGCTTAACTTTTTTACTGCAGTCTAATATCGATATAAAAATATTCTTTTTAGAATGTGAAACACAGAAAATATGCAAGGTGGAAGGCAACATATATCCATAATTGTTTAAAGAATGGAGAGACTCCTCAAGCAGGGCCTGTTGGAATTGAAGATGATAATGGTATGTATTTATTTCTCTATGTAAAATGATTTAGTAAAATCATAATTTTTCATTATTATCTGAAGTTTTCTGAAGGAACCATATAATTGTTTCTCTTATCAAGTCCAAAATTCATGAAAATTGGTTATAAAAATCATAAATTTGGGACAGTGAGAGATTAGAAACAAACTGTTCTAATGTCTAAAAAGTTTTGTAAAATTTATAGTATTTACTATAGTATTTACTAATGCTGTTTTTTTAATTTGAAATTTTATTAAGCACATATACCTTTAAATTTTTTTGTTGTTGTTAACTGCCTAACCTTTTTATCATTATGAAACATCCTGACTTACCTCTGTTAATATTTTTTGTCATGATTTTTATGTTGTTTATTATTGAAAGAAGTATTTCAGCTTCTATCTGCTTAGTATTTACGTGGTATATCTATTTTCATCATCCTATTTTAAACATATATGAATCATAAAGCATATAGATGTTGTTGTGTTGTTGTTTTTTCAGTCTGACAGCATCAATTTAATTTACATTTACATTTAATATAATAATTGCTTAGCTAGATTTTAAGCTAGTACTTTTGCCATTTGTTTTTTGTTAGTCCCATCTGTTTCTATTCCCTCTTATAGTTTTCTTTTTTCTGGTGAGTTTTTTCTTTCATTCATTATGACTATATTTTTCTCTGATAAATTTCCTGGTGTTAAGTCAGTTTCTGTTAATATCTGGGTCATTGTGGGTTATTTTTCTATAGACTTTCTGGTGACTCTGGTCACACTTTTCTCACCCCATAATTGTATTGCTTTTCAATGTTGATAAATAAAGAATTTTTTAATTCCTCTGCATTCTCTTATCTTCCTCTGTGAAGTCTTGATTCTTGTTTTTTATAAGCAGTTGGACATCCCCCAAGGGGTCCCTGATTGGAGAGGGTGCAAGCTGGGCTGAGTGACCCCCCATTCCCCTGTGCACAAATTTTGTGCATCAGGCCTCTAGTATGTTTATCATGAGACAAAAACATTGTAAAATTAAAAGGAAACAAATCAAATTCAGAGATCTGTAGTTCTGGTTTATTTTAAATTACTAAGGTTCTCCAAAGTGACTGCCATTTTAAATATACTATCAAAATTTAATTTTCTCAAAGTAGTTTTCAAATTTAGCTAATGATATGTAGTATATTTTGAAGTCTATATATTAAAACTTATCAACACAAATCTCTCTTTAAAAAAATATATATATATTCTGTTGATTTTTTACAGAGAGGAAGGGAGGGGGATAGAGAGTTAGAAACATCGATGAGAGAGAAACATTGATCAGCTGCCTCCTGCACATCTACTACTGGGGATGTGCCCGCAACCACGGTACTTACTCTTGACCAGAGTCGAACCTGGGACCTTTCAGTCCACAGGCAGACGCTCTATCCACTGAGCCAAACCAGTCAGGGTAATACAAGTCTCTTATTACTTCTTTAATTATAGATAGCTGAATGTGAAATTTTATTTCTTTGTTTTTATTGATTAACTTAATAATTTGGACAACAAAAACACAGTCATTTGATAGATTTTTAAAAAAATGCTATTAAGTAAAAAGGGCAGTTGAAAGAAAATAGAGTTCTTATTGGGTAGCATAAATGTGACATGTTTTGCCAAAAATGTCACTTTTTTTTAAGTTTAAGGAGTGGGTTTAAAGGAAGTTTATTTTCAGGAAAAATATACTATGTAAAAAATATTATAGAATTGAAATTAGAAATAAAATAAGTAATCATATTGCCAGGCATAACTTTTAGAAAGTGTTTAAAACTATTATTTTTAAAGATAGAGCCTGCTTATCAACAGCATTAAATAAAATTATATTTGAAGGTTTGCCATCCTGTATAGCAAAATAAGAATATTAAGCATTTTTATTTCAAAATACCTAGTTTAACATTGCACATATTTCCTATAATAGATGTTGAAGAAAATGAAGATGTTGGAGCCACCTCCCTGCCCACTCAGCCGTCACCTTCACCTTATGACCCCAGCAACATGCCTTCGAGCAACTATACTGGAATACAGATTCCTCCCGGGGCACACGCCCCAGCGAATACACCAGCAGAAGTGCCTCACAGCACAGGTAGAAAATGAAACTCAAAAGTTTGGAACTCTCCTTTCTCAAATAAGCACTGCACTTATATCTGTGCTACATAATGGTAGTCATCAAGCGTGATAAGATCTTTTCATTCCATTTTGACCTACAAAAAAATTAAATTCTTTTTATTGAAGTTTTTTAATATCAGTTGTGCTTTTAGTTTAACAAGAATGACAGAACTTTTAAATGTACTGATTGATTACATTGACTTTATATTTTATTAATGAGAATAGCTTCTATGCTTTTCTGTGTGTTTCTGATTTCTTTTTCTTCCCCCTTCTCTTTCCCCTTTAATGTTGTTTAAGAATAGCACTGAGGTGAAGGGGATTTTTATAGTTTGTATCAGTCAGCATCTCACTATTATAGCAAGACTCCATTTTTCCTTTCTCATTTCCTTAGGTCCCTGATCTGCCTTCAACATGGGTCATTGATAAAGGAGAGGCATAGAATCTCAGTAGCAGTGGAATCACAGACTAGTAAAAGGAGAGAGGCTATGGGTTACTTTTTTTTTTTTTTTAGGATTATGTGACCAAAAACAAGGAAGGAAAGTGATATTTGCTATCTTGGAATAACTTAGGACTCTCTTGTCTATTTTCATAGAAAAATAGTCTGACAAAACTAGCCTCCAATAAGTTAATATTTGTAGAAAAAGATATTGGTATAAGTTGCAAATACATATACATAAATCCTTCTATGTATATGTATTGTTAAGTTAGCATCAACCCAACTTCCAAACAAAAAGGTATTTAAAACCATAGTTTAAATATTTAACTTATTTTAATTTTTAATAAAAATTGTTCTTAAAGTTTTACTTTTATTTCAGCATAAGAATAATCTGTGGTAGTAAACTATACAAATATTTCAAAGCATCTAATTGATAAAATGAGAGTCATCATTTGAGTCCTGATTTCTATTATGTAGCACGCCTCTACTTCATTGACTTTCAGATGGCAGCCTCAGTTTATCTACAAATCTACACTAATAAAAAAGAAACATGCAAATTGACCATACCTCCGCTATGCCCACAATCCACGTCTACCAGACAGTCAGGAGCGAGTATGCAAATTAACCCAATCAAGATGGCTGCGGCCAGAGAGAAAGCAGGAGACTTGGGTTTCCCCAGCAATGGAGGAAGCCAAGCTTCCTGCCCACTCTGGCCTGCCCTGGCCTCTGCTCAAGGCTACAAAGTTTCAATTATACAAGATAAATGAATCCCAACAACAATGGTAGCAGCCAAAGAGCTGGAGAGAGCAGGAAGCTTGGGTTGCCCCAGGCGATGGAGGAAGCCAAGCTTCTGGCCTGCCCTGGCCTCCACTCAAGGCTACAAAGTTTCAATTATAGAAGATAAATAAATCCCAGATACCAAGCCTCCACTTGGGTTGCCAGGGGGTGTGGCCAGCCTGCAAATCACCACAGACCCCTCTCCCAGGCCGCCCCATGCCCTAAGGGAACCCCCACCCTGATCTGGGATACCCTTCAGGGCAAATCAGCTGGCCCCCATCCATGCACCAGGCCTGTATCCTATACAGGCTGGCAGGGATGTGGTTAGGGGATGATCAGGCTAGCAGGCAGAAGCACTTAAGGGCAATCAGGAAAGCTTGCAGGCGAACATTTGGGAGCCAGCAATCCTGGATTGTGAGAGGGAAGTCCTAGATTGGAGAGGGTGTAGGCTGGCCTAAGGGACACACACCCCCATGCACAAATTTAATGCACCGGGCCTGTAATATATATATGCCTAAGCGACTGTTATAACGGGGATGGGAACAACCAGAACGACTGGTTGGCCAATTGTGATGCACACTCACCACCATGGGTCAGAGGCTCAATGCAGGAGCTGTCCCCTGGTGGTCAGTGCGCTCCCACAGTCAACCTCCCATGGCCTCTCTCCTGGCCATCTGGCCCCATCAGCCCCTGGTGCTACACCATTTGTAGAGACCTACTTCTGGGTCAGGGTTTCCTACATAGCAGAGCAGCTTCCTCACTGCAGTGTATTGAAAGTCAGCCCTGGACACAAGAGTTTGTCTCACTCCCATCTTCTCCCTTCCCCAGGGACTGCCCACCCCCTATGGTGTTGGCTCAGGACGAGGGAACAAGGAGGGAACTAACTGGAAGGTGGCAAGACGCTGATAGTAGCGTTGGTTCTGTTCCACGCCTGGCAACCGTCACCCCTTCTCCCAACCTCACCAGGGCCTTCAGGGCCCAGGCTTCCGGGACAGGGAACCAGGGGTAGTGGCGGCGAACGTGACCCCTTTCCCATGAGGCCAAGGGCCTGCTCTCTCCTTGGGGACAACAGCCAACTTCCCTCGGTCCCTCCCCCAGGCTCCCACCAGTCAACCTCCCACAGTCCTGTCCCGCACCCCAGTATTAGTGAAAGGAATAATTTTAATAATGATCTCTTTTGTGTCATCATTCTGTATATTTTACCGTCTTGCCTTTTCATCTATCGAATAATATTAATAGGCAAACCAATTTGAATTAGTTTGTAAGTAAAATTTTATAGAGCACTGTTTTAAACATTTAATCTTTTAGAATTATTGATAATTTCTCTAGGAAAAAAAACAGCTACTTTAGGCATATTAGTCTTAGATGAATACTGTCTGGATTATACTACTAAATTTAAACACTAATCAAGAACTGTAGACACAAGCAGCCCTGCAGAAGAGTGAAATGAAAATAAATGTATTTTGAAGTCAAATAGAATTGGTTATGAGTTTCTTCCCCTTGCTAAACCACAAACTCAACTATTATTTACCTACTTTTGACAAAGGTTTTTCCTCTTTCTAAAATGAGATTAATCATATTTCTCATGGTTTTAATTTTATAGGAGAAAAAGAATAAAAATTGACTAGTACTATGCCTAACACAAACTCAGTATTCAGCAAATTAGCTTCCTTTCTTTTTTTTTTTTCCTATTCCTTCCTATTTCTATGCCAAAGAAAGACAGGATATTTAATAGCAAGTTAATGAACACTTAAAATCATTTTATGAATCAAAGGAAATGTCACTTTTGGAGATAGGATATGACCTTAAAAAGATTGTCTAAGGGGTATTGCTTTAGACAATATATCTTAGGGCTGAGTAGAGGTATAGCCATACATACATATTTTATTTGTAGACATCCTATATGTACATATGCAAGGGAACATATAATTCCAATAAAAGGGCTCTGTCAGGTTGAACCATATGAAATTGCTATTTTTGTTCTACAAAAGTGATAGAATATTGGTAGTTTCATATGTTCAAACTAACAGACAATACCTCCTGCTTAGAATATGCATCACATAAAGATAGATATTAGGAGGTAATCTTCTATTAGGAATAAGATACTATCTTTTTATTGTATACACTCTCATAAGCTTAGCATTTATATAATTACAACTGTTTTATAAATCTACTCTTTCAGAAACCGTATTAGTTATTGTTGTCCTTATTTTACTAACAGTAAACAAATTAACCAGTTATCTCAAAAATTAAAATACAAACATACTTAGTAAGTAGAGAACTAGAGTTTGAACCCAAGTCATTCTGATTTTGTGTTTTTGGAGCCTTCCTTTTTTATCCCTTTCTCTAAGGAGCTAATATTCTATCAAATATAAACCTAATTTTCTGATACATATTTACTCTTAAAATTGATTTGAGATGTTGGAATCTTCTCTTTGCTGGAGGAAATTTTTTCTGTTATATTTAAAACAGTTTTTTTTTTTAATCCGTTATAGTTGCCTAATAGAAACTGAAATAAAATTTTTGTTATAAATATAGCAGATGTTTCCCCTCTTACTCGCTTTAAGAATGATTTACTTTCTCCCATATAAAGGTCCAGGATGGACTTTTATCAAAGGGAAATCCTTAAGATAGCTGAAAAGAATAGTATGTGCTAATATAGATTTTAGTTCTTCCACAAGAAAGTAATGGGTACAACGAGAGCAGGGATAGTGATGTTTAAAGAGGACATGTGTTTGCTCTTGGACTTTAATCACTGTAATAGCAGATATGGACAATACAGTGTACTGTTTTCTTCCTTTTGAAACATCACTTTTTACAGTTGGTAAATATAGAGGAAGATTTCAGTAAAAAATCTAGATTAAGTCACAATTTTATAATTAATGTCAACCTTTAAATTATAAATGCAACTCACCGCATATATAGATCAAAAACTTAGTTATTTTATTGTAGTTCTTCTAAATGTCAGCAGTTCTGCATTTGAGTTCCTCTATACAGTTTTCAAAGTTGTTTATATTCTGGCTTAATCATTTGTATCAATGCTATTTGTCATGATTATACTGAAGTTTTATTCAACCCAGTCTTCCTGTCTTTCCTTTGTTTAGTATTCCTCGTAGCATGTCTTTCTGCCTATTTGTCTGCTGTTCCAAATGCTACATTTCAGCATTCTGTTTAATTATACTTTTTGGACAGTCTTCTCTCATTTTCTAACCAACACCCATTTTTCTCACACCATTTATAGATTAAGTTAATACTTAATTAGAAATCTTGTGATCTTTAATTTTAAATGTGTATTATTCTCATCTAATAGGATTCACAGCCATCTACTTAAAAATTAACCCAAAGTTTACTTTTTAATACTTCTTTTCTGTTAAATAATAGAAAGCCATTTTCAACATCCCCCAGGAATATTCCCTCCCACACACATATTGCAGTCTAGGGGCCTGCAACCCATTTGTGAATTGACAAATGATACCTTTCCAAATCAGAAAAAAGGGGAAAAATGCTAGATTTTGGCATCTCAAAAAAGAATAAACATAAATTAAAAAACAATTTTTTACTAATTTGACTGTTATTTATGCTCTTGTATTGAGCCAGTATGCTAGGCCTCCATGGCAATATTCTACAGTGATTGCCAAGAGGACAGGCCTTGGCTCATGTGTGTTAAGACAGACGAGATGCAGCATCTTCTAACTGCTGTATGAGGCATGTTGAGCAGCCTGTGTTGTCAGTGCAAGATCTAATTAAATGACTGACCAGAAGTCCTTAATAAAACGCAAACTATTTTTAAAATATCACTCAAATAAAAAGTTACTACATAGCAATATTTTCTCCCTGTCTGTTTTGTTCTTGTGAAGTAATATTGCCTAAGTAATATTTTCATAATTTAATAGTTCCAAAGGTGTAAAATGAAATTAATTTGCCCTAAATCAAAATTAAATGAGATAGCCGAAACCGGTTTGGCTCAGTGGATAGAGCGTTGGACTGCGGACCGAAGGGTCCCAGGTTCGATTCCGGTCAAGGGCATGTAACTGGGTTGCGGGCACATCCCCAGTGGGGGGTGTGCAGGAGGCAGCTGATGGATGTTTCTCATCGATGTTTCTAGCTCTCCCTCTTCCTCTCTGTAAAAAATCAATAAAATATGTATTTAAAAAAAAAAAAAAAAAAAAATTAAATGAGATAACATAATATATATTTAAGCAATTTTTCTTTTCGGTTGGTAATGAGAAGGTCCTTCAAAGTCAAAACTTAGATCTGAATATTATTTTAAATTTTAAGTCAGCCTTTTTAAAACCATTATGCTAGAACTTTCATTGGCTATGTTTTTGTTTTCCTAGAAACTTCCTAGTTATTTTCTTCAATTTTCTCCTTTTTATTACATTGTCTTTCCCATTTGATACTTACTACAAATTGCCTATTCAAATTTAATCTGTTAGCTTGGGGAAATGAATCCTGTTTTCTGTTGAGTGTATTGATTTAGAGTAATCAACTTTTTTCTTCATTTGCTTGCTTGCTAATTGGATCATGTAAGTCCCTCTGGGAAGTTTTAACAATTTGTGTTAATATTTTAGGTGATAAGTAACCTTCAACTCTATTATATTACTTAGCATTAATCAAAAATCCTAGTGTCCGGCTGGTATGGCTTAGTGGTTGAGCACTGACCTATGAACCAGGAGGTCAGAGTTCGATTCCCAGTTAGGGCACATGCCCAAGTTTCAGGCTCTATCCCCAGTAGTGGGTGTGCAGAAGGTAGCCAGTCAGTGATTCTCTCTCTTCTTTGATCTTTCACTCTATCTCCCTCTCCCTTCCACTGTGAAATCAATAAAAATATGTATTTTTTAAAGGATGATATTCTTTATATAACCAATAAGCAATTAGTTTTGACTTCCTATTTTATGACTGTTAAATTGAGTCATTTTTTTAAAAATTATATTTTTATTGATTTCAGAAAGGGAAAGAGAGAGATAGAAACATTTAGTGATGATATAGAATCATTAATCGGCTGCCTTCTGCATGTCCCCTACTGGTGATCAAGTCCTGATCAGAATCGAACTGTGACCTCCTGGTTCATAGGTTAACTCTCAACCACTGAGCCACTCTAGCTGGGCAAAAGTATCATTTAAAAACATGTTAACTGGAAAATTTGGAAAGTATAATCTTTATTTCATGCAGAATGGTGAAATGGAACTTATCCTGTAAGGTAAATTAAATCATAATTACATTCCACCTTGTCCCCAAATTATTTAATTGGCTAAGAAATTAAAAGGTAGGAAGGGTTCTATTACTTCTACAGATATTTGGTAAGCTATCATTGAGAAGAAAATTAAAGTAGTATTAGATATGACAAACTACATAATAGGAAATGTGTAACCAATACTATATATGTAAACACTCAAAATGTATTTTCCTGCATATTTTCTACACCAGCCTCCATCATCAAATAACTATCAATTTAGAATTCATTAAGGTGTCAAGAAATAAAGTTACCCATTTCTTCCATAATGTTTTAAGTGTTTTCCTACTAGATAGCAGGATAATTAAGAGGTATGAAACTTTAATACCCTTTGTGGTTTTCTGATTTGCAGGTGTAACAAGTAATACTGTTCAACCTACTCCACAAACTATTCCAGCCATTGATCCTGCACTTTTCAATACAGGTTCCCAGGGTAAGTCAGCTCAGTGTTTTATAATTTATAATGTATCTTTTCTTTTGGGATATTGTTTTGTAATTTTATCTTAGGAGTGTCCAGGTAATTTGAAACACATTTCTTTGAGTGCCATGTTCACTAGATTCTTCAGTGAATCAAGATTGTTTCATAATATCAAAAATACCTAAATCTCAAGGCATTTTATTTTTTATTTTTATAGTTTCTTTTTTTTTAATTACTGTGTATATATATGGTGGCACAAACATGTAGCCAAAAATATCATGGAAGCTAAGATTAGTTTAGTTCAAGATTTCCATATGTTGCCCTGGCCCAGTGGCTTGGTTGGAGCATCATCCTGTACACCAAAAGGTTGTGGGTTCGATTTCTGGTCAGGGCACATATGTGGTTAAAGGTTTAATCCCAGGTCTGGGCAGGTTTGCAAGGCAACCAATCAGTGTTTCTCTCACATCAATGTTTCTCTTTCTCTCTCTCTCCCTCTCTCTCCCTCTCTCTCCCTTCCTCCCTCCCTCTCTCCCTCCCTCCCTGTCTTTCTCTCCTCCTCCTCTTCCTCTCCCTCCCTCTCCCTTGAAAAATCAATAAAAACATATCCTCAGGCGAGATTAAAATTTTTTTTAAAGATTGCTGCCATGTGTTACAATTATGATATTTCTCATCTGTACTGAATGATCAGATTTTCTAGGATGAGAAACTAATTAAAATAAAAATCTCTGAGGATAATTATTTTGATTGGTTTTTTTTCATAGGTTAGGTGATTTGTTTGTTGATTTTTTTTTAAATTTTACAAATAGTAGTAGTACATATGTCTCCTTTTTCCCCCCCATTGATTTCCCCCCGACCTCCTCTCCCCCCCCCACACACACACACATGCCTTCACTGTTTGTTGATTTTAATCTTTGCTACTTATCCAACTTTTCTGTTATTTCCCCTCCCCCCCCCCCCCCCCAGTCCATGGTGGTGTTTTTGTTTTGTTTTATTACAACTGTTTTTATTTATTTATGTATTTATATGTTATTATTGTTGAAACTATTATAGATGTCCCTTCTTCCCCCCCCCCCCCCATTGACTTCCTCCATTAAGCTCCCACCCCTCCCCAGGCCTTCACCACATCATTGACTGTCCATGGGTTATACATATATGCACCTTCTCTCTGAAATTTATCATGTTTCTTTTGGTCTATCTCATTTAGTTATCATCATATGTCTGATGGGATTTAGTCCTCTTTATTTAGAATGAAAACCTTACTCTACTATTTTTTGTTACTTAGTTTGAGTTTGTGTTTCCCCTGACTATGTCTGCAGGTCTGTTTCCCACGTGATTTTTTTATTCTCCTAGTGAGAATGGAAACTGGCCATTAAGCTACCTGCCTCTAAGTTGTGGAACTAGAACTAGACGAGCTTTATTTAGAAGGGTGATGGGAGGAGGTGACACATCTACCATGCTGGTGCCATTATGAACATAACATGGATTGATTACATTGTGTTCCTCTAATTCTGCATTCATTTAGTTTCTAGTATAACAGCAGAAATATTTATAGTTGGTTCAGAATTTAATGAAAGTTAGAGGACATGAGAGTTTGGAGCACAGTGCGTTCTCTATTGAAGGTAATGGTGTCTCCAAATACCAAAGACTATGTTGGTGACTATACATTTGAATAGATGCAAAAATATTTTAAAGATGTATAAGCTGTAATGTTAATGAAAACAAGAAATGACTTTTACATGCTGTTGATGGGATTATAAATTGGTAAAGCTTTTCCCATTAGCATTATGTCAGTATCAATAAAATATACCTAGACCTGGGCATAAAATGTATTTACAGAGATATTTATGTAACAGAAATCATTTATAGTAACAGAAAATAATCTTAGGTGCTTATTAATGAAAAGTAGTCAATTATGATCTATACTAACGAATACTGTGCACATATTAAAAAAGGGTGTGATTGGGGTCACATCATCAGTCACATTCTTTTTTTTAATATGTGCACACCCAAGTGTCCATCAGTAGATGAGTGGATAAAAAAGCTATGGTACATTTACACAATGGAATACTACTCTGCCGTAAAAAGAAAGAAAATTTTACCCTTTGTGACAGCATGGATGGTCTTGGAGAACATTATGCTGTGAAATAAGCCAGTCAGAGAAAGACAAGTAACATATGATTTCACTAAATATGTGGAATTTCACAGAAAAAACTGAACTGCCAAGCAAAATAGTGATGGATGCAGAGAGAGCAGGCAGACAACTCTAATGGGTAGGGGAGAACGGGGTGTAGAGGGGTTGAGCAAAAAAAAAAAGAAAAAAGAGAACTCAAGGATATGAATAACAGTGTATTTGATTGTGGGGAGGGAGTGGTGGAGGTGGAAGAGGGCAGAGAGAGAATAAGTGGTGATGGAAAAATAAGAATGTGATAACTCTTGTGAAAAGATCTAGACACAGTAAGAGAAAAATCAAGTTGCAGAACATTGTATAGTATGGCCTGTTTAGGAAACAACAACAAAAAGTTTAAAACAACTATATCCTAATATTTGTATATATTTGTTTAAATGCATAGGAAAAGCCTAGAGAAGTCACAAAAATAAATAATGGTTTCATATCCACCATATCTACCATCACTATCACTTCTAGTACTTTTACTACCCCCTTTTCTCTTTAATGTTTAGTACTTCTTGCCTTTTAATATACACATAATATGTGTGCATTAAGTATTAATATATTTTAAATGTTTTTTGTAATGAATTTTTTGCTATCTCTGGAGAGGAGAATGGAATTGGAAAGGGTATTCAAGGCTCAGTATTTACTTTTTACTTTGTGTATCTCTCTATATATAGCATTAGAATATGAATAACAACTTATAAAATTTTTTGAGAATAGAATACCTAAATGGCATTTGCATAGTTTCTGGTGTAATGACACTCTACCTCTAATCATGGCTACTGTTGTTGGCATTAGGAAGTGTCATGTTTTGGTGGTGTCTGGGTGGAAGGTAAGGTTACTGCACTATGCTTTACAGCTACCTCCAAGATTTACTGCAGGTCAGAGGGCTCCCCTCCGGTCCTGCCTGTGCATCCACTGAGTCAGGGAATAATAGAGTATATTAGGATCAAAGAAATTATCCAAGGTTCTTGACATGGATTTCTAGAACTACCTGGTTAAATAGAAAAGAATCTAAAAGACTCATTTTGGAAATATTTACAATTAAGTTTTATTCCTTGGAAACTTGATAATTCAGCCTTGGAAATGATTGCTTATGCCAACTGAGCATGCAGGGATTTCTCTTTATACCGAATAATGTGGCCTTTGATTCAGTGCTGACCGAGGCACTCTTTCCACTCCACTGGAGAACTTGATGGATAGCTCTAGCTGTCTTCTGTGTCTGTTCTTGTCCTGCCCTGTGAAGGAGAATCAGGTCTGTGGTTCAGACAGTCTTGTCTGAAACCTAAAAGCACATATTTAAGAAAAGAGATATTATGTTAAACAACCTCTCTAATCCTTTAAACACCTTTTAGGGCCACAGTATTCTCTCTGTCTGGTTCTGATTATGGGTTCTGGCAAATTTTAATGATAGGAAAAAACAACTTTTATTTTGGTACATTAAGCAGTGTTTACTATTTTTTATATAAAATCAAATAAAATGAAATTGAACTGTTTTTCCTTCCTATGTCTTTTCTACTTCCTCTGTTTGGTTTTAAATGCTAATTTAGAAGAGTCATAATTAAAAAACAGACTTTATTTTTATTTAAAATTTTAATTAAAATGTTTTATTTTAATGATTTATATATTATTTTTTTAATATAGGAAAGCCTAAACTGTTATGAAATATCAGAAGTAACTATTGAACTGGCTTAATAAGTTATTTATACTTCTGATTGTTGAAAATAAATTACATGTCTAAGTATATAACTCATATTATGCATCTAAATCATAAATTGGTTATTATTTATTTTTTGAGTTACAAATTTGTCATACATATCTATTATATTTATTACATATATGTAATTATATTTTAAAATACTTTTATTTATATTTTATAAGTATTAAAATATTTATTTTATAAGAAAAGTCAGTATTTTGTGTATTAAAATAGTTTTATTATTGGTAGATAAGTTTAGTTATAAACCTAAAATAGTAACTGAATTCTTGCCACTATACACATTTTATCTGATTAATAAAGAAGTGATATGTCAGCAAAACAGTGCTAAAGCTAATGCTGAAAAAATAAGATTAGTCCTGAGCATTAGGACTTTCTTCCAGGAAATCCGGTAAATTCTGGGCGGATGCCTTTTATTTTTAAAGATTGCCCTGAGATATGAGGTTGGATATTAAAACACAAAATGAGTAGATTCATAGTAAACTTGATTTTTAAAGGTGTCTCACTTACTTAGAAAGTATGTATGTCTTAGTTACTAGTCTCTTAATATATGTTGAAAAACCACTAAAGAATCTGTAGCTATTTTCAAGCAAAAAATACAAAGTGAGGCATGCCTGACTAAATTATCTAAGGAACTGCAGGATAATTATTTAGGTTTAATGGGTAACAAAAAGTATATATTCAGGTATATTCAAATCTTAGATTGAATGACATGTGTTTAGTATTATTAGGTTGGGCTCGACACATATCAACCACTTGCTGAGAAAATAATTTTGGAGAAATAAATTGTAAGGGTGGTTTACATGCTAAATTGTGTAGTTTAATTATATAAAGCTTAGTTAAACCTTAGAGGTCTTTGTATGGGTGGCACAAAAAAATAAATTTTTGTTTATATTTAAAGGAGTTAAACAACTTATGTAAAATTTTCACATAAAGTTTGTTATTTCTTTCCTTTTAAATTGAGGGTTAGATTTCCAGTTGAAATGAGGGTTGAATGGTTTAGTCTGTGTGTATTGTTCCATGAAAAGAGAGGCAGAGTGATTCTAGCATAAACACCAAACCTACTACCCTTGTTTCACAGAGTATAATTTTTTATAATTAATTTTCTAAAATATAAAGAATTCTAATTTATTACTTCTGAAAGGAAAAACTTGCTCAAGTAAGTTTTTATGTATTAGTATGTATGTGCTTTATATTAGTAATAAAAAATAATAGCATGAAAAATTGATTTAAAAACAACTGGGATTGAAAAAATCCTTTATGTTTTTCTATAACCTCTAATATTTTCTATAATCTTGAATTTAAGCTTTTTCCTAGCCTGAACAGAACACTTTTTATATTCTTATAAATATCAATTATTCTTTTCTTCTAGGGGATATCTGTCTAACACCCGAGGACTTTGCTAGAGCTCAGAAATACTGCAAATATGCTGGCAGTGCTTTGCAATATGAAGATGTCAGCACTGCTGTGCAGAATCTGCAGAAGGCCCTCAAGTTACTGACTACCGGCAGAGAATAAAGCCTTTGTACAGCAGATCCATGCATTTTGGCTTACAGAACTAACAGTCCATTAGTCTCTATCTTCTGCCTATCAGGAGCACAGTTTTAAGGAAGACTTCAGTTCCATTGACTATAACAATGAAATCTGTGTCTATGTATCAGATTCCTGTTGAAGCATTCATCAGCGGCCTCAACCAGTTTTTATTGCCACTTAGTGGATCCAGTAATCTCTGGGTGTATTGGGCTGATGTTAAAAATGCCCATCGAACTCTACCAAAAAAAATGAAAATACAGTTCTAAAAAATTTATTGGAAATAAGCTTTGTACCTTAATTTACATGATTTAAGGAATATTTTAATTTATAATTTGAACAAACAGAGCATAGTACTTTGCTATAAAATTTTAATTTTAATAAAGATGGCCAGAACATTCCAGATTAGAAATCATCCTTTTTGTTTTCCTCAAAACTTATAAAACAGGTATGAACATCCTAAATTGTTAGATTAATCTGAAAGAGATTGTGTTCAAAATTCCATTCATATTCATGTTATAACTACATTAAAAGTTTAAATTTTCTTGGGAAAGAAGATAAGGAGGTAGAATCACTTTTAGACATAAGAAAGATGTTGGTTTCCCAACTGCTTTTCCTTATTCTTTGAAGCTTAAGGTGAATTGGTATTTGTTTCATAGGCAGCTTGACTGCATGTATTAGAGAATGAAAAAAGTTTTAGTAATGCCTGGAAACCTGGTGCTTTAAGTTAGGATTCTCCTCTGCTGCTATGGAATGGTTCTCTAGAGTGTTTAGCTATGAATGATGCAGAAGTTTATAAGAAATTAGATTCTCAGTTATGTTTATAAGTTTTATGGGGAATTTTGGACTTAATATGTCACCTGCATTTGTGCTGTGTAAAAAATAAATGCAAGGATTCTTTTCACTAGTTCAATTTACTACAGAGCCAAATGTCTGTTTTAATTTGCATGCTAGAATTGTCATTTTTAAGTCATTATTTTTAATTACAGGAATATGATATTTCTGTAGTAAGACACAATTTTCTTTAAAAGAGAGAGATAAATTTGGTTAATTTATTTGTAATGTATCTTGTCCATTTATTCCATTAAGATTGAAATACTTTAACATATGGGTCAGCAAACTATGGTCTGTGGCTTGGCCACCTGTTGTTCAAATAAAGTTTTATTGAATCAAAACCGTACCCATTCATTTGTTTTATCTGTGGTTGCTTTCCACAACTGCAGAATTGTATTTTCTACAAGTCTAAAATATTTACTATTTGGCCCCCAAAGATGAAGTTTGCTGACTCCTGATCCAATAGTCTATCGGAAAGGAAATGAATTATTAATTCCTAATCATTGTGTTTCTCAGTTTTTCTTTGCATCAGTGTAATGTTGTGGTATAGGTTTGATAGAATGAGGATTCAGACAGAATAAACTGCTCTAAATATTTAAAAAATAAGCCCCAAAAAACATGCCTCCTGATTAATGTTCATATCTTTCACAAATAAAGTCCTACAGCATTTTATGGGATTAAACATTTACATCTAGAAATCCAGTATATTTCTTTAGAATTTTATTGCAGTAGAAAAGTGGCAATAATGATGATTAGTGCTTAAAAGAGCTAACATTTTTTAATTCAAATCTTAACATGTCTGGACATGAAAAAACAAACTGTCGCTTCTTATTTCACACTGTTTTTTTGTCCCCAGTTGGGAGAAGAAGGAGGGGAGAAGACAGTGTGGGAACCCTGGAGCTTCCTGATAAGTGGGCCATGGTGTGACAGCCCTTATCTGTAAGATGGAAGCAACACCACCAGACACCTCAGAGTTTGTTCTGAGAGCTGAATGAGGAAGTGTACATCAAATAGTCAGCACATAGTAGCAATCTACAAGTGTTCATTGTTGTTAACAATGTTACAAATGTTAATAATTTATTTCCTGAATTTCAGGAGATCCCAGTTGTCTCTGAAATTCAGGAAATAAATTATTTATTATTTATTATTGCCTAAAATTGCTTTCTTTTATGGGGGATTAAATTATAAAGAGATTTTTAATTGTACTTCTTCCTTAAAATCTAAGACGAAGTTAGAAATTTACTGATGTAACACTAGGATGGCAATTTTCAGTTAGTCATTCAACATGTATTTATTGAGCAGCTACTTTGTGCCTGATAATTGTCTTGCGTAAAAAAATTGCTGAAAACAAGAGGGGGGAAAATTGCCTCATAGACTATATTTGAATGAAAAGTAACAGACATACTAAATAAAAAGTATATTTAGTGTATTCAACCAGAGATTTTCAAAGGGTAATTGTTAGAAATGCAAATATCAGTTCCTACCTGCCCCCAGTCTCACCCTATCAGAAACTCTAAGGGGGGGAGGGGTCCCTTTTTGAGTTTTAAGAAACAGAAGATCAACCAATGAACTGCTATGTATATATGCATAATGCATGGACTTGGACAATGGGGTGGTAAGGGGCTCAGGAGGATGGGAGTGGGCTGAAAGAGTTTAATGGGGGAAAAAGGAGGACCTATGTAATACTTTCAGCAATAAAGATTTAAAAAAAATTTTTTTTTTTAAATAAATGCTTCAGATAGTGCAGCAGTCCCTACATTTGAGCACTACTCAAATCAGAAACACTGAGTCTGAGAGAAGAGATTCTCCTGAAACTAATTCTCAGAGTGTGGGCCCTGGACCCCCCAGCATCAGCATCACCTAGGAACTGTTGGTGATAAATGCTATGGAGAAAACTAGAATATAGGATAAGGAATGCTTAGGTGTGTGTAAATGTACATATTTACATAGGATAGGCTCACTGAGGAACATTTTTGTTTTAAAATTTATTGTTGAAAGTATTACAGATGTTCCCTTTCTTTATCCCGCTAACCCTCTCTCCTATCCCCATCCACTCCCCAGGCCTTCACCACACTATTGTCTGTGTTCATGGGTCATGCATATAGATTATTTGGTTAATCTCTTCACCCCCACTCTCACCCCAGCCTTCCCTCTGAAGGGCATGTGAAGGAAAGGACAAAGATGTTCTTGGCAGAGAGAGGTAGATAAGAGAAGGGGTCAGGGCATAAGTGGGGAAAGCTTGTGAACTTGGTAGAAGGTTTATGACCATATGCTTTTACTCTAAGGAAGATGGGGAGCTACTGAGAGGTTTTGAACAGAAGAGTATCTGATGTGACAACTTTTAAAAGGATCATATTGACTACTGTGGGAGCTCAACTAAGAATATTGCAATAATTATAGCTGAGATATTCCGATGGCTTAGGTCATGAGTAGCAGTGGAGGTAATAAGATGTAATTGGAATCTGGATTTTTTTTTTTTTTTCTTAGTAGAACCACAGTATTTCTGATAAACTGGGTCTGAGAAATGAGCCAAGGAGGAGAGAAGGTTTAGGACCAAGTTTTAACCTGAACACCTGAAAGGAATGAACAGTCATTAGTTGAACTGGGAAAAGTTGCTAAATTCTGCTGACTTTTAGGCTGAAGCAAAATGTTTCCAAGTTCTTGTCACCATCCTAAGTGAAATTGTTTGATAACATTGTTTTGTCAATGCACACAGAGGGGGAAGAAAAATAAGATAAGTTCCATCTACATTGATTGTAGACATCTCACTAAAACACTGCTGACCTGGACTGAGAGCCAACCACAGTTCCCATGGTTAGCATGGCCAAGGAAGTTTGCAGGCTTCAAGATCACACCAAGAAAAAGACCCCAGTTACAATTCTTGAACATTAACATCCTCAGGTGATCATAGAATTGATCTATACTAGTATATGACTTGCACTTCTAGAAATTTGAGGTCACTACATACGTGGTAGGTTATACGCTATTCTTTCTAAAGAAAACTCTCAGCAGCTTTGTCATAAATATCTCTTAAATGAATAACAGTAGGAAGGAGTGTTTTGCTTATCTGCACAGCTTCCTATCTCTACCCATGTCCCCCTTTTTAAAAAACTTTACACATTATGAACTGGATCAGATCATCTAGTTTGGACCACAAATAAACTACCAGTAGAAAAGTTCTGTTCTTAAAAGAGATCACAAAAGACAAAGACACTCCTCATGGAGATATGCTGACCGGGTTGGTTGTAATCTGATGTTTACATAGAATTTTGAGATGGAAAGCTCATTCATTGGAGTATACTTAAGTAAGACTAATTCCAAGTAAGCAATACTTTAATAATCTATAATAATAAAAGTGTAATATGCTAATTAACTGGACAGCCGAACGACCTGTCAGGGCTGAGGCAAGCCAACGAGGTTGCTAGGGCTGAGCCCCTGGCATGAATTTCATGCATCAGGCCTCAGTAGTAATATAATAGCTATCATTGAGTGCTTACTAAATGATAGAGCATTTGAAGGAAAGAAAGAAAAAGATGTTCTTGGCAGAGAGAGGTAGACAAGAGAAGGGGTCAGAGGGTATATGTGGGGAAGACTGTAAACTAGTCTAAGTATTTTATGCACATTCATATAATCCTGCCAATATTCCTGAAAGGTGGGTTTTGTTTGCCTCATTGTTTCTGTTTTACAAGTGAGGCAGCCACAAAGTAATAAATTTGTCTGAGGCTGCACAGATAATACTGAAAGTTTCTAAGCCCACATTACTTATTTCATACAATAAGTATCATCTATGTAGGTAAATCATCAGTTAAATTGTTATGAGTACAGTGAGATGTTTTAAATTAACTTCACATTACCAATGCCACTAGTCACAATCAATGTCACAATTTCATTAACAGGTGTAATAGCTGGATTTTTCTATTATCTGGCTCTGTGTTCCATTAACTAGGTGGTAGGCAGTGAACACAGGGCATGAGCACATTCCCTGGAGCCTATGGCCTGAGAGCAAATGGACTGCAAGTCTAAGGAGAAAGCAGAACTTGAATAGCTGGTGCAATGGATTAATATCATCTCTGAGAGGGTGAAACACATCACTGGAGAGTCCTGAGTTTCCCAGACAAGCCTGTTTTTTCTTTTTAAGTAACATCACTATTTTT